GTTCTCCACACAGAGAAGATATCCTTCAGAAATTAAGGCAAAATAAAGACATTCCAGACTAATGAAAGCTGAGATAATTTATGACCTACACTACTAGAAACACTAAGGGAAGTAGTTATTCAGGCTGAGGGAAAACAATCCCAGATGGAAGCATGTGGGAAGAAACCATAAGCACGGAAAGGGTAAATGTATGAGAAATACACTATTATAAACATTGTTTAAGACTATTGACTGTTGAGTACAAATAATAATGTATGTGAGGTTTTTTGGCTTTTGGTGTTTTTTTTTTTTGACTAAAGATCTCACTTTGTTGCCTGGGCTAGGATGCAGTGGCACGATCATAGCTCATTGCAACCTCAAACTCCTGGCCTCAAGTGACCCTTCTGGCTCAGTCTTCTGCATAGCTAGGATTACAGGCGCATACCACCACACTCAGCTAATTTTTGAAAAATTTTGTGTAGAGATAGAAGTCTCCCTATGTTGCCTAGGCTGGTCTTAAACTCCTGGCCTCGAGTGCTCCTCTTGCCTCAGCCTCTCGAAGTTGTATATGGGGTTTATATGTAGAAGTAAAATATATGGCAAGAGTAGGACAAAGGGTAGAAGGGGGATTAATGCAATTATACTTTTGTACGGTTTGTACATTATTCAGAAAGTAGTATATTATTAATTCAAGGAATAACTGTTGCAAGTAATGTATCACTTTATGAACAAGCTACAAACCTTATAATTTAAGGTATATTGCAATAATTCAAAGAATATTATAACAAATTAAGGAAGCATATTGTAACACCCAAGGTAACCCTTTTATATAATACAAAAATACATAGTTAAAAAGCTAATAAAGGAAATAAAATGTAATAATTTAAAAATACTTGATTAATTCAAAAGAAGGATAAAGACGGAACAAAGAACATAAACTAACAGCTTCACTCCTGGGATAAATAGAAAACAATTGGCACGATGGTAGACTTAAACCCAACTTTATTGGTCATTATGTTAAATGCAAGTGAACTAAACACTCCAACTTGATGGCAAAAATTGTTAGGTTATATTTTTTAAAAAAGATCCAAGTATATGCTGTTTATAAGAGACATATGTTTAACATAATAACACAAAAAAGTTTGAAGTAAAAGGATGGGAAAAGATAATTCACACAAACTGTAAGCTCAATTTGGTGTGACTCTATTAATATCAGACAAGTGGACTTCAAGGCAAGACATATTACCAGAGAGAGTATTTTAAAAACATTAGTCATTAAAAGACATAATTCTGTCTATGCTCTTAAAATAGCCTCAAAACACATTAAAAAATGACAGAAATAAATGTGAAACACATAGTTCACAATAATATTAGCTGGATATTTTAACTGACTTTTCTCCACAATTGAGAAATAGTGGTCCATAAATAAGTCAATTTGTAAAAGCAGAGCCAAGAGAGGAGTTACTCCACTTACAGACACATATACTCACATATATATCAAGTCATGAGAACATACAGGACAATGGAAGAGAATAGGAAACTCACAAGAATATATGAGTTACAAAGGCAGCACAAAAATCAAAAAGAATAGAATGTTAGTAAAAGGATTGGAAAAACTGACAGCATGGAGAAAATTAAAACTGGAACCCTACCTTACACTATATGAAAAAGTAAACTCCAAATGGATTAAAGGACTAAATACAAACAGAAAATGTAAAAGTTAATAAAAATTATTGTAACAAAATATGTTTGGGACCTCATAAACACAACCATGAGGTAAAATACGCATGGAATGCATTATATAAGGAAAGGGAGATTTTGGTGGATCAAATGATTGCTGCTATAAAACGGCAGAAAGGGTAAGAAATTCTGGGACTCTGGGATTGGGTAGTTGCTTCTAGGAGAGATGGGTATGTAAAGAGAAATAATTTAGGGTTGAGGCTTAAATTCTCAGCTCAAGGCACAGTCTAAAAACTAAAAAAAATCCTGTGTTTTTGCTGAAAGAATCTCTTCTCTCTTACTAGCCGTAAGGCTGAAATAATTGAAAATGAAGGTCATACTTAATCTTGCTGGTTGCCCAATTATACTATGAGTTAAATTCACATCCTCACTAGGCGTCTTATGTAAAAGTTAGAATACTGACCAAGAAACAGCAGGACCTTCATTTGGAATGGGGATCTATGGGGAGAGGGATTTGGAAGACTCATGATATCCTAAACTAGGGCGAACAATACTCCAAGTTTGAGAAGTGAAAGTTCTGTGTCCCAGGAAACCCCTCAGTCCCAGGAAAACCAGGATAGTTGACGCGTCCTCTCTTGCAAATCAAAGCAAGAGCTCTTCCTGTCCGAAGAGGTTGCTACTGCCTTGCTTAAAGATCCTGTAATGACTTCACCTGAGGTAATAATTACCTTCTAAAGGGAAACCAATTTCCCTTGTGCATCTCCCACATTTTTCTCTCTCTCCACACATAAAATCAGAGTCCAGCAGGGAGAGGGGCTGTGGCCGATAGAATTAAAAAGTCAAACACGTGAGGAGCAGACTCACGTCAAAAAAATTCTAGATTTGCTCTTATATACTGGGGGAAAAAAAACGAGAAAAAAGCGTATGGGACTCTGAGAACGTCATACTAAGGAGGAGAAACGTCATTTTGGGCTGGGCAGTGTGGATGGACAGAGGGACATTTGCCACAGACTACGGATCCAGGGTGTGGCCTCTAGCAGCTGGAAGTGACTCTCCTTGTTGGTTCAGATAGGTGAGTGAAAAATGGACTTAGCAATAACCCACATTCAATGAAACTGAGAATGCAAACATTCTTTGAAATAATATAAAGGAATTCAAAGATTTACAAAGACAGGAATTTTGTGTGGATTTGTTGTATGCTCTATGACTATCCCAACAATCCCCTATATCTCCTGAGAGAGCCTATTAGTGACCCTCCTTCCTCTGAGACCTTGAGCAATGCATTCGTGAGGGAAAACCAGCATCCATGAAAAGCTTTCCCGTGACTCTTCCCCGTGAGCTGGGACAGCTTGTGGGAAATGTTCTGGTAAAAGTTTTCCCTGTTTCAATGGAGATATCAGAATCTTGAGGTTGGTAGAGGCTTTGCTAGCAGCACTTTGTAGCAATTAACTGGAGACAAGGGGAAAACAGTCATACTACGAGCAGGCCCGATACAGTCAGAATAGTTTGGCCCACAGAAATCTTTGGTGGTGGAGAGTTAATCACAAGGCCTCCTGGCCTGAAGTGACGTTCAAAAAATTAGCCAGGAAGCATGGATACTGGCCGAGAAAAATGGATACCATTGTAAAAAAGAAATACAGCCACACCAGTATATATCTGCTGAGTACCAGCCTGGCTTAGGACCAAATACATGGGCAACCCGTGTAGGCCCTACTTGATGTGTGTAACAACAGCAGAAAAGCCTGACTGCAGCCACCAAGATAGAGTGTCACCAAATTGCCACACAGGGATATGAAAGACGCCTAAGATGAAGAACTCTGTAATAATATTGTATGTTTTCCAAAGTGTATCTTCGAGGCTCTCATTTGCTAGGATAACATTGCACTGCAGAAAGGAAACTATGAGGCCTTTTGGAAGTCATCTGGGGACACTTCTGAACAAATATAAATTTCTGGGGTCTCTGGAAACCATTATGGTCTGTGGGACAGTGTATGCTACAGGAATGAACCCACCCTCCAGTTATATTCCCAGTTGTTTAAAGAGTTAAAATTGATTTTTTTTTTTGTCTTCTACAGTGATACATGCACACTGGATCCTTGATCCATAAATAAATGGTTATTCTATCAGGAAGTACCAAGAAATTTGCAGACATGAGTCCCAGCACCCAAAGCTTTAAAAGAAAGCAGGAGTGTGATTCTTATCACATTTTGATTTAACATGACCTTTGGCATGTGTAGGAGTAGACAGATGGGTCTCTAAGAATGATCGCATATACTCAGAAATTTGTTCTGATGGTGATTCCAATTGCAGCTGCTGCCAGTTAAGTTCTCTTTCTTGGAGCAGATCAGTAGGTTGCTAGCTATTGGTCAATACTTTTTTGTTTTTCCTTTATTCATGTATATAGAGCACACTTGAAGTGGTTTGTTCTGTCTCAATAAGCAGCAATAGAGATTGTCTTTTTTTAGTGTTACATTAACTCTCTGACTTCGTGTCAGAATATAATTCTTGATACCAGACCTTGATCACCTTACCATTGGGCAGTGCAGCAGCTGATCCAACACACTGATGATGACAGGCCAACAGGACCTGGAGAATTGGAGTCATTAGTTCCCTGGATGCCTGGTAAGACACGTTATGCCAGAGGGTGCAGGATAAACCCCATGAGAACACAGAGCCTGCCAGCTGAGGCAAGTTTAGTGGAGGCCCAAGGTCTGGTGCATGTGGGGACGTCCCCTCTATAGCAAGGAACAAATTTGCTCTTTCTATGACTATGGAGGCCTCCCATTATTTGGTGGGCTTCTTTAAATTTTGTGTGCTCTGCATTTATGGGTTGATCCAGATGCTTCTAACTTTGGGCTTGGAAAGAAAGGTCTCCCCAGCTGTCTGGGCTGCAGTGAAATTAGTTCTACCACGTGGACCTTATGAGGGAGATCCAGTGGGCTCAGAGCTACTGTGGCAAATCAGGATTATGACTTTCAAGTGAAAACCACACTCTCTTCGGAAACTCTCCTTTTGACTTACTACCGGGCTACTTGAGATGAAAGCAAATGATAGAACATTGTTTTGTTCGAAAGTGTTCTATAAAGAACTCAGTCATCCCAGGGCCTTCCTGATCAGTGCTGAGAGGGGGTGGGCGGTGTGTGTAAGCAGTCGTACACAAACACTTTTGAGTTCACAGGCCACATGTTTGTGGCTTAACACCAAAATGTTTTAGGAATGTTTTAGAGGCCCCTGTGTCATGGTCTGCCAACTCCCCGGGCCCACTCTTCAGTTCACTGTGCAAGCATCCTCCGCTGTCAGCTTAACACATAATAGACCAATAAGGAATGAAGAGCAATGAACACATTTGAAAATATGCTTGATTTAATTCAGTACAATTTAAAGACATGCTGTAACTTTTATAAAGAAGCACTCTTCAAAAATAACCATTTAAAAATATAATATATACAGTATCAGGATTCTTATGTTACAAGCCATAGAGACTGATTTTGACTTCCAAGAACAAAAGGGAAGATGTTGGGTAGCTCAGAGGTGCTGATGAACACCCAAAACTGAGGGTGGCACTAGGCATTTAAGCAGCAAGAGCTCAAAAGCATCTCCCCAGGATCTCCCCCAACGTATAGAGAAGGGGGCCCCCCAAGGTAAGCGCTGTGTACATGTGTGCAGGGTGTGAAGGGTTGTTGTATGTGCTCTTATCAGGCTGTGCAAACACAACCAGAAATCTCCTGTACATGCAAAGCTGAGTTTTGAATTATATGTATTTTTTGAGTTTTGTTTTTTCTGTAAAACCTATATTTCTCCCATAATAAATGTCTATCACTAGTGTTCCTGATAGGAAAAAAAGTATTGACAAATGCTCAGATTGGCCATATAGAAGTTAGTTCTGAAAATTATCATCAGAAATAGCTCCAGAAACAGTAATGAGTTCATAAACTAGAATTTATTTCCTATGTTTTAGATACAAAAAAATCATGTATTTTTTGTTCTATATTTTAGCTCTTTATGCTTATCTTTCCGTAGCTTTTGCTAATTTAATCATAGAAACAAAAACCTCTATGAGGTGGGTAGATGGCACATATTGTTACATTTCAAAGGAAAAAAGTTTATTGAAGTTATATCTGTTGAGGCTCTAAAATCTTGTGAACATTATACTTATTAATAGCTGTGGGGAGACTGTAGGAAAATGACTCCTATATTTTGTTGTTTTCAGTCATGGTAAACATTGAGAAATGAATCTTTGGCAGCGTCATATCTCTTCCCTTTGTATATATGTTAAGCATGAGGTCCCCACTTGAGTTCCAGCATGTCCACAACTAGGATGGAAACACGATGGGCAAGCTGGATGATCTGGCAGGGCAGGCCCACAATGAGCCTTGGCTGGACGGTCTGAGCGTGCCCTGAGAGGAAACTCATTCTGAGCTAAGAAAGCAGGCGGGACAAAGTAGACCCTGTTCCCCAAGGCCTCATGGGTACAGGTCTGCTGGTCCATTATGTCCCCTCCCTAGCCCAAGGACATGTGTCTGCATCCTAGGGTCAGCGTAAAACCAGAAGGCACGGTTTCATCAGAAGTTCTGTAAGGTTCCCGGCACAGGCAGCACTGTTTGGCATCTAATGGGATGTGTCACAAAATGTGGAGGGGTCCCTGTTACTAAATCTCAGCATCCAGCTTTGGCATCCTGAGGGAAGCAGGACACCAGCATCAGTGGAAGTGCCAGGGACCCAGCAGGACAATGGAAAGCTTCCGGAAAGGGCAGCAGTAGCTAAGGAGAGACTACGGAAACAGGGAAAGCTGCAGAGGCTGCTCATGACAGCCCTTAGTGCTGGTGAGACTCCTGAACACTTTCGGGGAGGATGGATATCTACCTTAAATGAGGTTTTTATCATTAAAATCATCTCTCATTTTGAAAAAGGCTGAAGCCTCTGGAACTTAGAATTTTCAGAAGAGATGTTTATAACTTATCACCAAACTGTAGAATTTGATATTTTGTTCCCAGTAAGGTGATCATGCAACCAACCACAATGGTCCCCTCCCAACACTCTCTCACCCTGCTTCGTAATGCACTCTGGTACACAAAGGTTGGATGAAACCAGGAGAACATTTTGTAGGTAAGAAACCATGTATTTTTGTGGGTAAAAATTGAACTAAGAATATTGGTATCATTATCCAACTGATGTAAATAAACATCATAGAACACACGTAGAATTGTATGTCATCTTCATTACTCTGGAGACTTCATTTCTATTCCTAACAGCCATGGCTGTTAGGATCTAGTTTTACTAAAAGAACACACTCAAAATAGTTTAAGAGGTGAAGTAAACACGTAGTTTCTTTTTGTTCTTATTTTAAACTTGATTTAGATCCATTTCCAAAGAAAGGAAAGTTGATGTGTCACCTGTGTGCTAGCATCATGAAAGGGAGAAATGTTATTCACATTTATGAATTCATAACTATAGTTTGATTCTCAAAAATCAAGTTAACATCAATGTTAACTGTTGCCTTTGGACTCCTCTTTAATCAAATCAGCCTCACTGTTTAAATAGACTCTTTTTATTAATATACAATGAAATCGTTTTTTAAATGATTTAACACAAGAACCTAGAGATAACATCATAATTTCACTGTTATAAAGTTAAAAGGCCTATTTGTCTCATTATCAGCTGAAATTCATTGCCACGTGAAAATTCTGGAGCTAGGTTTCTCACAATGAAGCTACACAGCCACAGGCCTTTTTTTTTTTTTGGTCTTATTAACAGAAATACCGACTTAGTGAAATTATGAGTAAAGGCTTCTTAATAGGTTCCTAGGACTCTGAACTTTTGCTTTCAATACCAAATAATATCTGAAAAACATGCTCACTTTTGTGCTTTTTGAGAAATTCTAAGAATTGGCCCAGATTCATGTGATAGTCATTCCTTAACCCATAGTCACCGTGGGCCTCAAGGAGTAACTCCTCAAAAGAATGGAAAAGGCGCAGGTCCTCGCCATTTCCTTCCGTCTCCATGCTTTCCGCATGCTTACAGGAGATATGCTTCCAATTAGGGTACCTAATTGTGTGCCAGAACTCCTCACAGTGCTCTTTGAAACCCTCCACACAGATTATACCAGGCTTTCCTGTCATGCAAAATCCAGTCACATCTAACCTTTTCCCAACTTCCAAAATCTTTTTCCTTAGGTCCTGCTGATATATATGGTGGCTATAGATCCACATTCGGAGGAATGTGTTCTTGACTGGCTTTACTTGTGTAGATGGTTCGTACACGAGCTTTCTGTTCAGGAAATAGGATGCACTGTTGTCCTGTAGCCACTGGATTGCTGCACATATACACAGCTCACCTGGATCAAAAGTCCCTATGTAAGAAGTGAGACCTTTGTTGAGAAGTAGCTGCTGATGTCTGTCAAGCTCAGGTGACCGTCCAAACAGCTGCAATGCTACATAGGGGTAGCTGTGAGGCATGGTTACTTGCAAATCAATTTTCACCTTAAAATGAAAATCAAATAGATTTAAATACCATAAAATCACATAAGTGAGTTTATCAATGGCAACTGCATGATTCTGAGATGTGAAATAGTTATTGCTACTACTAAGTGTCAGCTACGTACAAAGTACTTTACATCCGCTATTCTTTCCATTTATACATTCATTCTTTCAAATATTTATTGAACAACTACATGTACCAGGTGCCCTGTGCTGCAATAAAGTGAAGAAGCCAGACACTATTTCTGCCCTTCATGAAGTCTAGGGCCTCGTGAAGGAGACACACATTAAACAAATAATCACACATAGCAAGTATTTAATTTCAATTGTGAGAAGCATTACCATGGAAAAGTTGAGGGTTCCATTGAAGTGTGTAACCAGCGGGACAGAATCCAGTCTGGGGAACCAGGAAGTCTCCTCTGAGGGAATGACAACTGAAGGATGAGTAGGAAATAGCTAAAACAGTGGTTCTCAAATGCCCAGTCCACGTGTAACCTATGCTATGCTAATGTTGCTGGAGATAAATGGATCAGAAGATGAAAGTAAATTCATTTTTAATATTTAGATTTTGTATCTGTATTTGCTTTCTGTGTTATGGTGCCATCAAAAAAAATTCACTCACCCCTTAAAAGCCAGTTTTATCATAGGCAATCTTTAGATTGAAAATCATGGCATATGTAAAAGGTAGCCTATACTACAACAGTGGGATTGGTAAGAAACTGGATGAGTGAACAAAATAATAATGGTGCTATAAGATTACAAGATAGTTTCAATTAATAAAACTAGGCATTTTGTTAAAAAGTTGTGTATATTTATATAAAATTTAAGATATTTACTGAAGACAATTTATGGAGCATCCCACATATTTTATATTTGGCTTTCAAACAAGAAATATGCATCTAGAATATTTCTATTTCCTGGACAGGAAGCTCATGTTCTAGGTGTTTCAGTTAAAAACTGGGTACCTAGCAACAGTTAAAACAAATAAAGGCACCCACCTTGGGCTCCTCAATCTGGAGCGTAATCACAAATTCGATTTTTGGTGGCAGCGCCTCCCTTGTGCCTTCCAAATACCTCTTTATATTCGTCAGGGCATTTACATCTTCAAGTTTTACTTCTCCTTGGTTAGGAAACATAGAAAACAGCATTTCCATCTCCAGCAGCTGAAGCTGAAGGCTTTCTTTCACCGAAGCAGACATGTTGTCTCGAAATCAACCTGCCTGGAAACCTGGAAAGGCCGAGGGACACTCAGTTTGTCAATGCCAGCTAGTGTCCCGCGAAATTTCCTCAAGGTCCCTTTGCGTGGAAGCAATTCTGCAGGAACGCTTCGCAGCGAGAGCCAGGGGCACAAACCGGGACACTTACACTCTTCTGCTTTATTTCCTGACTCCAAAATCTATTAACAGCATGCACAACATCCCCTAAAATACTCCGTTAAAATTCAGGTTCCTAGCCGCCCCCCCCCTCCCGGCCCCAAACTAATCTGGGAATCCACTTTCAACAGGTAGTTGGCAAAACACCTGCAGACACTCCGCAAGCCTCAATTCTGGGACCGGCAGCGGCCGGCTCCAATCCCGCCCGGGCTCCGGCTTGGGAGGAGCCAGACGCTGCGGCGAGGGAGGCCCGCAGTGCCCGCGGCGCGGGGCTCCGGGGCTCCGGGCTCGCGAGGGCCCCGCCGCCCCCAACGCCGGTCGCCCCCGACCCTCCGGGGCGGGCCTTTCAACCCCTCCCGGGAGCCACACGGGTCGGGGTCGCATCCTCGGGCTCCCTACGTTTTGGGTTCACCTAGCCTCGGCCCCGAGGGGCCCGGGGTGGGGGAGGGGGGTTGCCTTAGAGACAAATAAATAAAATGACGTGGACAACGAGCCGGGGGGGAGGGGGTCCCGGAGAGCCGGCGGCAGCCCGAGGCTTCCGGACCCAAAGGCTTGGGAGAGGAGCTCGGCAGTCGAGAGGGGGACGCGGGCAGCCTGTGGCGCTCGCGGGGGCCGAGGCCGCCCCGTCCGAGGCCCCAACCCGGGCTGTTTCCCCACCCCCGCCCCCATCCGAGACCGCTAGGAAACCCCCAATTCCCGGAACGCGGGACCGGCCTCCCCCGAGGCCCAGAGTGGGAGGCGGAGGCGGAGGCTGCGTCTCCGCGGGTGTAGTTCTCTGAGGGCCCGCGACCCCCGGCCCCAACCCCGGGGCCGCCGCGGGGGCCTCACCCTTCCTGGTCATTCAATGGACACAACCCCACAGCCCGCTCAGAACCGCAGCCGCAGTTCCGCTGGCGCGAGCCGCGCGTGCCCGGCGGGAGGCCGGGGCGGGGCCAGCGGGCCCTCCCCCGCCGCGATTGGCTGAGGGGCGTGGCCACGGGCCGGAAGCCACGCAGGGCCACGTCTGCGGGCGCCTGGGGCTGGAGTCTGGCGTGGCGGCTGGGAGCGTGTCGGCGCGGCGGAGGGGAAGGGGAGTCTCTCCTGGCACGGGTGAGCGGGGCCCCGGGACTGGGGCGAGATGGGGGCGCTCCGGCGGCAGGGGTTCCGGGGAAGCCGGGCGGGCCAGCGGGCGGCAGACGGACCGCGCGCCTGACACGCCTTCAGGCCACTGCACCTCGCGGGGCGGCTGGTGGGGCCGGCCTGAGGGTCTCGTGCTGGGCTCGGGTCCACCGGCCTGTGGGGACCTCGTGCTTGAGTGCCAGGAGTCGTGCGGTGATTCGGGGGTTGAGAGAGGAACCAAGGAGGTTTGAAGATTGAATGGCGAGGAGGGGCACCCTCTTAAACTTTCTAAGAGTGGACACTGTTTGGACTTGGGAAATATACTTTTTTTAAAAAAATATTTTGTTTATTTGTCTTATTTTTTTTCTCTTCAAGCAGCTGTATCATAATTGGGGCTTAAAAGCAAATATACTTTGAATAAAAGCATTCTCATACCCATTGAAAGCAGCTTTAGGACCTAAAGCGCATGAAAGGTGATAGCAGGTTATCCTGATTTTTTTTTTTTTTCCTTTCTGGATTTAATAGGACAGGACTGGTTTACACCCTTATGAATAATCATGATACACTGGTCAGTTCTCTATTCATCCATGTGAAAGAGATTTGCTCACTTTGGCCTGAACTAAATTGGCTTGTTGAATGCCAGCTTTTTCCAACCGGACAAAGGCAAACATTTTCCACCATTTTCTTTAATTTTTGTTCATTGAAGCAGTGAAGGACAATAAAATTGTAAGGCCAGTAAATGTGGGACTGCTCCTCATCTCTGGGTTAATTGGGAATTAATTGACCCAGGAAATGCATAGTATATGGTCCACTGAGAGTACACTGCTGACTGAGGTCAGAAACCTCAAGTTGCACTTTATTGGAGTATCCCAGAGAAAAAAGAGTATTAGTGGGCTAAGGGCTGATGTTTGAGTTCTAAAATTAAAGGTAAAAGGTCTCATTCCTTAGGAAGAAGATATTGCTGGTTTCAGAACTTAATTTAGAAGAGTCTCCTGATTCTCCCTATGAATATGGAAAAAGATTTGAGCAGGTGTGGAAGGAAAACTGTTGCCTTTTGCTTTTCCTTTTTGGGAATATGTCTCTATTATAGTCTGGGAGAAAGCAAAAGAACCATGCAGATTTCCCAGATATTTGGAAGTATATAGTCCCAGTCCATTCAAGAATTTGCCTTTAGGGCCCAGCACCGCCCCGCCTTCCATTTTCCACACCCTTGATCCCAGTGCTTCAGGAGGCAGGAGGATTGCTTTAGGCCAGGAGTTGGAAACCAGCTTGGGCCACATAGTGGGATCCTCTGTCTACAAAAAAAAAATAAAAATAAAAGAAGTAGCCAGGTGTGGTGGTGCACGCCTGTAGTCCTAGTTACTCGAGAGGCTGAGGCAGGAGGATCGCTTGCTTGTGCTCAGGAGTTCGAGGTTCCAATGGCAGCTATGATAATCCTGCTGTACTCTAGCCTGGGTGACAGGAGTGAGACCCTGTCTCTAAAAAAACCAAAACAAACAAACAACCCCCCCCCAAAAAAAAACCCTTGAAGAATCTGACCTTTAGCCTCAGTCCATCACTGGCTGCCAAAGGTTAACTTCGTTTTCCCTTTTGTAAAATGAGATAATCTTTGATCCCATGGAAGTCTCTGAATGTAGCTATAAAATCTTCATTTTAGTTTGAGAGTGGACTGTTTTAAGTTCACCCTGGGTTCTGGAGTTAAAATGGGGGATGCGTTAGGGACAATCTGATTTCTGTCCCAAGTCTGCCCAGGAGCAGACAATACATGTTGGGCAGGATCTTCTAGGTAATTCTAACCTGCAGGGCTTATTCTGCTCTTTGCTCTCTCAAACATAGGGTTCTTTGGGGAGATTCAGAATGAAGCAGACCTATTAGTTTGGAGTGGTAGTTTTCGAAGCAAATGGTTCTTAAAAGATTTCTTGTGTTATGCCTGAAAAAAATATTTCTTAATTTGGTAGACATGGATTTAGGTGCTGTTACAAAGCACTCAGCATCACATGCCAAGCCCAATGGACTCATTCTTCAATATGGGACTGCTGGATTTCGAACGAAGGCAGAACATCTTGATCACGTCATGTTTCGCATGGGATTATTAGCTGTCCTGAGGTCAAAACAAACAAAATCCACGATAGGAGTCATGGTAACAGCATCCCACAATCCTGAGGTAATTCGTTTAGTGCTCTGATAAAGAAAACTATAAGACCAAACCCTGGTGTCTGAGCAGTTTGATCCAAAGTACAAGTTTTAATTCTAGGAGTGTGCCTTTTCGCATTTATATGGGCCTTCAGCTTTGGAACAGCTTTTTGAGAGAGTGACCGTTTAGCTCATGACTCATTAGAGGGTGTGGAGAGAATAAAATGAGACTGCCGTTTTTTGGAGAGTGTCCATATTGGAGAAATAACAGAATGTCCTTCCAAGTTAGTTGAATTGAGACAGTATCAGTAAAAGTGTTACTGTTATTCATTTAGCAGTGATTAAAGACATTAGGAATGGTGGGGGAAGGTTAAACATTTGAAAAGACACATTTTGTGATTTTTTTCAGACAGTTTTTTTTTTTATAGCTAGGTAATACTATTTGGAACTAACAGCCAAATAGGTAGGTCCAGGGATCCAAAGCTGAGCATTGGGCAGGTATTGATGAGGCTGGATAGTTCTAGTCTTTGTGACAGTTAAAATTTTAATCAAAGTATTTGTCTTAATACAATTATTTTTTCAGCTTTATTGAGGTTTAAGTGACAAAAACTATTCAAGTTGTATAGTATCACATTTTGGTATATGTATACATTGTGAAATGATTATCACAAACATGCTAATTAACATCTGTCATCTCACATAGTTACTTTTTTGTGGTGAGAATACTTAAAATCGACTCTCAACAAATTTGAAATATATAATACGTTATTAACTATAGTCACTATGCTGTACATTATATTAGTCTTCCAGAACTTATTCATTTTATAACTGTAAATTTGTACCCTTTGACCAGCATCTCCCCATTTCCCTCACCTCCTAGCCTCTGGCAACCACCATTCTACTCTGTTTCTATGAGTTCCACTTTTTTAGATTTCACGTATAAGTGACCCTGCGGTATTTGTTTTTGAGAGTGTGGCTTATTTCACTTAAAATGTACTCCAGCTTCATCAGTGTTATTGCAAATAGCATGATTTCTTTCTTTTTTAAGGGTGAATAATGTTTTATCGTGTCTGTATACCACATTTTCTTCATCTATTCATCCACTGATGGACACTTAGGTTGTTTCTATAGCTTGGCTAACCTTTTGACACAACATAACTATTCTGAATTGCCTATAGCCCACAAATACAGGGTTTGAATAGTATGCATCTATTTGATTGCTAGGGCATGAGATTTTTGCCTTTGTAGCTCAATCAGCAGCAAGTTAAAGCTATGTAGGTCAGTGAAAGATTGTAACTCAAACAAGGGCATTGCCTGTTCAACTTCTACATGTGTGATCATTGTAAATATGTAAATGTCTAAATGTGTTAGTTGCCATAATTGATTGATGACTTGCAGGAAGAGCCCCATGATTATTGCTAGTTCCAGAAACACTTCCTAGAACAATTCTGAGCTGTTTCTTTCAGTTGATATTCGCTCTGAACTACATTTTCTTTCTTTCCAGGAATTTGAGCAGAACAGAGTTGGGAGTCAGTTTTCAATTTCTGTACCACTCACTGGTTGACAAACTAGCCAGTATGTTCTCGGAGTTCTGAGTCATAGTGAGAAGAATTTCTAGGTACCCCCATTCTGCTCCACTTGTGCCCTAGTCAGTTATTAATAGTGGACACACTGATGACAGCCTTTTAAAAAAGCTAGTGTGGCATAGTGGTTGTTAAGTTTAAGAGTCAGACTTGAAATTTTAATATCAGCATTGACACTTACTAGCTGTGTGATTGTAAGCAAAATTACCAAACTTCTCTGAATCTCAGTTTTTTCTTAAAGTAAGATTGGCATAATAATAGGATTATTATTTAGATCGATATGGATGTCCTGAGGATTTAGTGAGGTAATATATTAAAAACACCTAGGCCAGGGTCTGGCATTAGTATTAGGCATTGAAACTGCTCAGCCATCGCTGTCTTTTGTTGGGATTAAAAACATGCATGAGTTCTGCCTCCTCAGCTCACCCTCATACATATGCATAAATTGCTTATTGTTTGTTTTTCTTTTAAGGAAGACAATGGTGTCAAACTGGTTGACCCTTTGGGTGAAATGTTGGCACCATCCTGGGAGGAACATGCTACATGTTTGGCAAATGCTGAGGAACAGGACCTACAGAGAGTGCTTATTGACATCAGCAAGAAAGAAGCTGTGAATCTGCAACAAGATGCCTTCATAGTTATTGGTAGAGATACCAGGTAATGACAAGAGTTGCTGATGGAAGTAGCTTTGGGAGTGTGATAAATGATTGTACCAGCTTTAATATCTAAGACAAATCCAAAGAATTAAGTAAAGAGGAATTGCCCCAAGTGTGGCAATTCTCCACCTACCTGGCCTTTTTTGTAGGGTGTAGATGCTAAGTAACTACTGCACCTTGGGTTTTTTTAAGACACAGTCTTACTCTGTTCCCCATGCTAGAGTGCTGTGGTATCAGCCTAGCTCACAGCAACCTCAAACTCCTGGGTTTAAGTGATCCTCCTGCCTCAGCCTCCTGAGTAGATGGGAGGACAGGAATGCGCCACCACACCTGGCTAATTTCTTTTTTCTTTTTTTTTAGTTGCCCAGCTAATTTTTTCTATTTTCAGTGGAGACGGGGTCCCGCTCTTGCTCAGACTGGTCTTGAACTCCTGAGCTCAAGCAGTCCTCCTGCCTCGGCCTCCCAGAGTGCTAGGATTACAGGCGTGAGCTACTGTGCCTGGTCTTGGAGCTTGGGTTTTGAAGTCCAACTTGGGTTTGAACTCCAATGACTGTAACAGGTTACTTAAGTTTTTGGAGTTTCCATTTTCTCATCTGTAAAATGTTGTTGATAAGGCCTATCACAGGGTTTTTGTGAGAATTAAATGAAATTATATATGCAAAATACTTATTTCCTGGCAGAAGAGAAGCACTTAATAAATGTCTGCCACCCTCCTCCTGTAGGTGTATTTTTTTCCCTACAAAGTCAGAACACATGATTTTCACTCATTATTTTAAAGATTTACTTTATAATCTGTGTTACTATTGGTTCAAATATTTATATCATTTTCCCATGCTGGAGTTTACTGGAAAACAACAATCTGTATTATTTTCCACATAGTTGTCATATTTTGCAGCCTTCCTTTATGAAAACATATCTTTTTTCAAAATGTTATATTTAAAGTGTATTTTGAAATAGTAGGATTCGTTTTTTTGCATGAAATCTTGTTTTATCCACAGATTCTTTCAAAAGGAAGTTTCTACTTGATCTCCTAATGGCTCTGACTGTTTTATTTTTAGTCTTCTAACATGTTACCTGGGAGTCTTCCAAATACCGCTGATTGTAGGTTTATAGGTAGCAAAACTGGCCAAGTGACTTACATTTTGAAGTAAATTATCCCACAGTGAAGCCATCTGGCATGTATTTGGATCTTACCTATTAACTAATTTAAATGATAAAACATGTTTTTCTTCGAGGCAGTTTTATAACGACCTGCTTTATTTTCTTGTAGATGAATAATTTGTTCCTGCTTTATGAAACGGGAAATAGGTTCTGTCTCGTGGTTTAATAGCCGATACTCTATATGCACACTGTGTGCTTTCAGTATTTATCGTTACTGCTCTTAAGCAACACATATGTTGCTAAAGTCAAATTTGGAAAGGTATTTAGGTATTGTGTAGTTAGGGTATCCTTTATATCTATTTTCTAAATTCATTTAAAAGGTAGAGTTTTTCCAGGGAAGATAGATTGTGAAAGGCTACTGGGAAATGCTTATGACTTACCAGTGTCTTTTCAGAGTTAATGGCTTTCAGTTCAGATACAATGAACTTACTATTTTGAAATTCCTAGCACATAATTTCTGCATTTGCTTGCAGAACCAGCAGCTCTGCTGGTTTGAGGATGGGATATATTTTCTTCCTTTTCTTTCCTAGGCCCAGCAGTGAGAAACTTTCACAATCTGTAATAGATGGCGTGACTGCTTTAGGAGGTCAATTCCATGGTATGTAGTTGTCCTGAGTAGTAAATTAATCTTGAAAAAACTTTTCAAGATTACAAAAGGAATGTATATTTATTTAGAAAAGTCTGAAAATAAAGGTGAACAAAAAATGTTTAAAAAATGAGCTCTTAGTTACAAAACACTAACTTTTAAAATGGTTTTCCAGATTGTTTCTGGGCAGGCATATTTTGATTTACCTATGGGAGTCCTACAGGAGATGTTAGGTAGGAAATGCTGATCCGATACAACTTTTTCTACCTTAGTGAAGAATTTTCTGAAATAAAAACCTTTGAAGTTACTTGAAGATGTTCATTTTGGGGAACTTTTGTCAAAATTAGGTATTCCCTAATAGCTGCTCATGTGTGGAATCAGCTGTTACCTATCAAATAGTGATGGAAACTATCTGGCCTACCTTGAATCATGGTTTCAAGTTTGCACAGGGGCTTCCTGTTTTAGCACATGAGAGAGAATTCAGTGCAGCAAAATGGAGGCCAGGATCCTCTTCTCTCGTAGGTCATGCTGTTGTGAAGTCAGTGACTCCCTGAGCATTGAGGTGAATATTTTCCTGGTATGAAATCTTTCTCATTAAAACAAAAATCCTGTCTTGACCTTTGAAACCTCCTCTCCACTCCGCTGTTTTCCTTCACCGTTAATCTGGCCTCGTCTAAGAGCTGGCTCTGCTCTCCTTGTTTCCTCATTTTCTAGTTATTCTTTAGCCTCCGCAGGTCCGTGTCCAGCGTCTCCTCTCCATGAAGTAAACGTCTCCCCCACACTCATCTGCATTCTGGTCACCAAATCTGGTGACTGTTGTACAGCGGGGATCTTAACCTGGGGCCCAGGAACCCCAGGGGAGTGTTTGGTTAAGCTGCAGGCACCCTGTGGCCCTCCGGTGTTGGAGTGTTATCTACACAGCTGGCGCTTTTCTAGGGAGAGGATACATAGCTCTTGTCAGATACTCAAAGGGTCTGTGACCTAAAAATCACGTTAAGAATTTATGCTTTAAAGTTCTTATTTCAGTTGACATCTTTGTTGCTTTTGACACTTTTAAAACTTTCTTTAACCTCTGCTTAGCTTCTACTCTTCCTTATTGGTCTTTGCTGGCTCCTCTTCTGCTTCTTGATAAGGGCATTCCTCATTTCTGTCTTTTTCACTCTACATGATTTCTGAGTGGTCATCTCTACTGCCAATTCTCCAGCTACTTTTCTTTTCATTCATTTACTACTTCATTAACCATTTTTGACTACCTGTCATGTACACCCCTTCAGTAGTCTGTTTTGTTTCACTGTGTATCCAATCCCAAATGGTAAGAAGCCCATTTTGTGTCATGGCCTGTGCATATGTGCTTGTGTGTATAACTAGAACAGTAGTCTCAGTAAAGCAGGGCTCACCCATACTACCAGATGTTCATTCATCTGTTTAAGATGCAGAAAAGCTGGTTGTGTCTCACTAAGTAGATTCCATGACCCACTGACTGCAGTGTGTGACATGCTGGCCTGAGTTATGTCGTCTCTTAGCTGGCCTGCCTGAAATTGCATTCTTTCCCCGGAACCATTGACCTTCTCAGCATTCTCATTCTGTCTCTAGAACCAGCACTCTTCTAGTGTTTTAGTCTAGAAAAATTTGAGAGTAATTTCTTTAACCTTTCCCTCATTTCTCTCTTTAGCTTAGTGTACTTCAGGAAATGAAGGAAGGTTAATGTGGCTGCAGGGGAGCGTGGGGCAGCTAGTAAAAGATCTTAGGGAGGTAAGCAAGGATTGGGGTTCTAGTCCCGATGAAGTGGGACTCCATGGAAGGATTTTGTGCAGGAGAATAATGTGATCACGTTTTCATTTTAAGCTATTCCCTCTGGCTGTTGTGTAGAGAAGGGAAAGGAAGGTTTTAAGAAAGGAAAAGAGACCAGCTAGACCACTACTGCATATGCATTAGTTTATGCAAGAGGGATGATAACAAGCGAAATGGAAATAATTACAATTTATATTGAATTCGAAGGCTTTTGTGTGATGTGAGAGCATTATCTTTGAAGAACAAATACCAGGTTTCTTGGTTGATCAGTTGAATAGATGCTGATGCTTTTTATTGAGTATGTGGAATAGTCATTTAGTGGATGTTTATTTGATAACTTTGATATTGGTCACAAAATCCTTTTGTTTTCTCCTTTAGCAGGCCTTTTGGAATAATAGTTTGCTTTTCTTAAACTCTTTAAACTAGTCTAAGCTCTCATCCACTTTTTTTGAGCCCTTTCCCCCATCTCATTCTTATACCAGAGCCAAGGTTGCCTTTATAACTTACCATTTCTGTTGTATAACTGCAGGGCTTAAGAACTTAAAATGACTCCTTTTGCCTCCAGTCCAAATTCTTCTGTTTGAATTTCAAGTCCATTAACAGATGTAGTCACTGAATATTTACTTATTGGATATTGGTCCATCTCTGCTATCCATTTTTCATTATTTCTTACTCATGGTGCCTTTCTTGTGTATTTAGCTATGTTTGTAAGCTGTTTGGTTTTTTTTTTTTTGAGACAGAGTCTTACTTTGTTGCCCAGGCTAGAGTGAGTGTCGTGGCGTCAGCCTAGCTCACAGCAACCTCAAACTCCTGGGCTCAAGCAATCCTTCTGCCTCAGCCTCCCAAGTAGCTGGGACTATAGGCATGCGCCACCATGCCCGGCTTATTTTTTCTATATATTAGTTGGCCAATTAATTTCTTTCTATTTATAGTAGAAACGGGGTCTCGCTCTTGCTCAGGGTGGTTTTGAACTCCTGACCTCGAGCAATCCGCCCGCCTCGGCCTCCCAGAGTGCTGGGATTACAGGCGTGAGCCACCGCGCCCGGCCCAGCTGTTTGGTTTTTATGGAACATTATTTATGGATGTTTTTGAGGTTTATGATGAAGGTATATTTCTGTGGCAAAGTTTAGTGTTTGCTTCTGCTGGGTACCTGGGGCACTATTTGGCTGAGTCCACTTTAAATTAGTTTATGACAAGGTCATTTTATACCCCTGTGGTTATGTATATTAGGGCTGGAAGTCCATGCAAGGGCCTGTGCTTGTGGTGACAGCTCTTCGGGAATGGCTTCTCCCCTTTGCTCAGTGCCAAGACAACTGTCCTGGGAGTAGTGACTTGGGGTGAATCAGAACCCTTGCTCTGAAGATATACTCCTTTGGGGTTGTTTCAACTTCATGAAGGCCTGATCTTCTACTGGGTTCCACATCTTAGATCAGCATGGACTTTTTTACACTGAAAACTACAGCTCAATTACTAGTTTAGAGGAATGTCCTCACAGCAAAACTGGCTTCTCTTAGCTCAGATCTTGGAGTTCCTGCCTTCCCATAGGTTTTGGGCTGAAAATTCTGTAACTTTTCAGTTCTCTTTAAAAAGACTTTTCTCTTTCATCTAGAATTTTGGTTGTTTTTCAGGAGAATGATTCATCTGACTTACGTAGTTTGCAGTGTTACCAGAAACAGAATTCAGCTATTACTTATCTGTTTTGCTTTGTATTTCCATTCTTACCTGTCTATACTAAATGATTGTTTTTTGCTAATAGTAGTGAATATTTTAGAATTGAGTATGTGACATGTAGTTGTGATGATTTCGATATGTGTCTATCTGGATAGTTTGAAGGTTAGTATCTTTGTGTTTTCTGAGATGTCTGAGATGATAAGAGGATTTGTCACCCCAAAAATCTTACAGTATGAATACATTTAAGAAATGTGGTGAATTGCTTTTTGTATTTCTATGACAGATTATGGCTTGCTAACAACACCCCAGCTGCACTACATGGTGTACTGTCGAAACACCAGTGGCCGATATGGAAAGGCAACCACAGAAGGTTACTACCAGAAACTCTCTAAGGCTTTTTTGGAACTTACCAAACAGGTGAAAAATGTCTTGAACATGGTTAGAAGTTCAAACAAATGAATAAAGTAGCAATGATCAGTTGAATAATTTATCTTAGTTTGTCACTCCTCTTTCCTTTTCCAAAAATGTAGCATATCTCCTTTTTCTCTCTAGGGCTCCAGGTGCAAGGATCTTGTCTGTGTACCCTGCTAACTGCATGTTGGCATTCATGCTTGGCAAGGCACATGGTTCATTCTGAGACCATTGGGGGAGAAACCTCGGTGGGGGTCTTGCTTATGGGTATCAAGTATTCAGATGATTTGGTCTTAGCGTTAATGTAGGTACTGTTGATTTAGTACTTGACACATCTATGGTTGAGAAGGATTTTCTTCTAGGTATATTGGGTTGTTAAACCTGGAGAGAATTGAGGCATCTAATTTATTTGATGAGCAAACATTGAGTGTATGTCATTGCCAGGCAGAGTTAACCAGAACAAAGCCCTTGCTGTCATCAAACTTGTATTTTGGGTGAGGATGGGTAGTAGAGAAAACTGACAATTAGAAAAAACCCATATTTCTCTGCTGTTGATGTATGTTATGCAGAGAATGACACATACCATTACTGCTCATTTGTCAGTGTGCTCATTCCCACGTTTGAATGGCTGCCATGTAACATAGACTGTAATATTACTTTTAAGAGACCCTGCTTAATTGAGGCTAAATTCTAATAAAGCTCTATTTCCATAAGTTGCTCAATGAGTGAAACTGTTCCAGTGTCTGAGGTGTTTTTAAATTTTACTTTAGTGTTTTATAATTTAAAAAATTGTAATTCTTTTAAACAGATGAGTTAGCTGAAGTAAAAGAAGATGTTTACGTATATACACATAAGTGTATAGCTTTATATTTCACTTTTACTTTCATAACTTGAAGTTTTCCTTCGATTTGTCTTTTTCCTTTGAAGGCTTCCTGCAGTGGAGATGAATCTAGATCGCTTAAGGTTGACTGTGCAAATGGCATAGGGGCCCTGAAGCTAAGAGAAATGGAACACTACTTCTCACAGGGCCTGTCAGTCCAGCTGTTTAATGATGGGACCAAAGGGAAACTCAATCATTTATGTGGAGCTGACTTCGTGAAGAGTCATCAGAAACCTCCGCAGGGTATGTAGTACTCGCAACATTTGTAGTAAACATTTGTTTTCAGAGCCCTTGGAAGCCCATCTCATTTACAAACTGAGGTGGCCACGTGAGCTAAGAATCATGCATCTAGTCCTGGCTTTGCAACATTTAGACATTTAGGAATCTTGCCACTTGTCAGTGCCATGTAAAATATGGTGTGTTCTCTCTGCCTGTGAGCCACACCACTCTTCATAGTGTGTAGGAAGTTGGGTGGGGAAAGCAAAATCAGAAAATGGCATTCTAGAGCAATGGTTCTCAGACTTTAGCATGCATCTGAATCACCTGCACAGCTTATTAGCACACAGATTCCTGGGTCCACTCCGGAGTTTCTGATTCTGGAGGCCAGGGGTAGGATTTGTGTAGGATAGATATTTGTATTTCCATCAAGTTCATAGGCCAGTTTGTTGATGGTGCTACTCTGAGGATAACTCTTTGAGAACTACTGATCTAAAGGATAGCAAACAATAGCATTTTTAGATACCTTATCTGAATTAGATACACTATGGAAAAGGAACATAACTCATATACTTGTCAGCAGAATCAGTGTTTTCCATACTGGGAAGATAAAGAGGAAGACTGTTCTTTAAATTTTAGTAGTATTAAGAGATATTATGCATTTATCTGCATTACAGATCTTAAATTATTAGCCTGTGGACCAAACCTGGCTAGATGTGTTTTGTTTGGTCTGCTGTGTGTGTTTGTGTTTCTGTGTCACTGTTTAAAAATTCTGTGATTTCTCTTATGTATTGGAATCTCTGGCATCTTTTAACCAAAGTCAGAAAATGTCTGTTCAGATATGGCAATAATCTGCTGCACTCAAATAGCTGCCACCTCCTTTAAACAGGACATTAATTCTAGAACTCTACAGAGTTTATCTAGTTGCCTCATTCATTCATGTTATTCTGGCTCACTGTAGTAAGCATTTAACATTTCAGTGTATTCAACCAATTTGAGCCCCTTTTCAATGAATTGCTTGTTTTGACATTTACTTTACTGACAGTTCAGTTCTATGTCACTCATTTATCCATTCACTAAATACTGAGCTCCTCCTCTCTACTGGGAGGTACTGGGACCATAGTATGAATAAAACCATAGCCCTCGCTTTCCTGAAGCTTGCTTTGTGTCCTTTAGTCAACCTCATGATCATATTCCCAACAAAAGCTTTTCACTTCTTAGTTGCCTCATGTTGGATTTGTCACTCTGCTGCTGTCATGGCTAAAGAATAGCCAGATTTTCTAATAAATTCGATGCAGCAGTTGCTGAGGTTTTAGTAACCTTATGCAAATTTCACAAACCAGTTCTCTTTCATGGGTTATAATTCTTTGCTCTTAATTACCAGTGTTTCTTGTTATTGGTAGTGTGGACAAATAAAAATCACTTCTATTAGAATTAAAGCACATACCTCATCTAGTGCTGATTATTTTTTATATTATACATGAAAGATTTCACAGTACTAGGTCACTTGCATCTAGAAATATCCGTACCTTTCAAAGAAAACTGTACGGAAAACCTCTCTAGCCAAACCAACTGGCTTATAAAGTGGAATTTTATTTTAGTTATCATAGCAAGTTTTAGCATAAATAGATTTTGAATGTTTTTCACTTTGCCATGAAGGAATTTGACCTATAAAAACCACCAATAAACTGTACACTAAAGATTAAGACATTTATTTAAAAGGATAATTTTAACAGAAAAACCTAAAATTTTTTTATGTTGAGTTTTATTCCCATTTCTTAGATCAAAGTGCATTTTAAATTATCCTGTGTGCTAGGCATGGAAATGAAGTCCAATGAAAGATGCTGTTCCTTTGATGGAGATGCAGACAGAATTGTTTATTACTACCATGATGCAGATGGTCACTTTCATCTCGTAGATGGCGACAAGATAGCAACGTTAATTAGCAGTTTCCTTAAAGAGCTCCTGTTGGAGGTATGGTGGGGGGATTGGCTACCCTGTGAAATAAGACTTATTAGTAAAATAGTTCCATATCCAAATATCCAACAGTCACTTGAATGTAAGAAGGGCACAATTTAGGAGAAATTCCTCACGTTTGTGGCCAGAAAATTAAAAAAAAAAAAGTGGTAATTCCAGTTATTTCAACATTGGGCATTGGTTTTCGAACCTAAAGGTCCTCTTCTTCTTTATACTGGCTAAATTTTATGATTTGAAGATTTATGAAGTTTTTGCTTTCTTCATAACTGACATTTTAATGACAGTTCTGTGCTCACTCCCTGGAGCCCCCAGTTCTAACAAACAGTTTCATCAGCTGAGAGATTTATTTCCTATGATTATGATAACTTAGTTATAGGATATTTGTTTTGTTTTGCTCTTTTAGAAATCTCTTTCAGGTTTGCTTTAAGTATAGGATGTAATTAGAAATAGAATCTGGAGAAAGTATATTTTAAGAATTCAATAAAGACTTTTATTAAAAAATGAAGGAAATAAAAATTAGATCACAGAATTCTTTAAAGAGGATTTCTTGTAGATTTGCTTTAAATAGTGCTCAAAAATATTTTAGGGGCTGGGTGTGGTGCCTCATGCCAGTAGTCTGAGCACTTTGGGAGGCCAAGGCAGGAGGATCACTTGAGGACAGGAGTTCAAGAACAGCCTGGGTAACATAGTGAGACTTTGTCTCTACAAAAAATAAAAAAAACATAGCCATGGGTGGTGACATGTGCCTTTAGCCCCAGCTATTCAGGAAGCTGAGGCAGGAGGATCACTCGAGCCCAGGAGTTCAAGGCTGCAGTGAGCTATGGTCATAGCACTATACTCTGGCTTGGCCGGCGCAGTGAGACCTGGTCTCTAAAAAAAAAAAAAAAAAAAATTTGGTCTTTTTCTGGTATACATGTAAATTTTCAGTCACTCATTTATTTCACACACTATTTCACACATTTATTTCACACACTAAGTGCACAGGGCACTTTTGTTATCTTAAATTTAGAACTCATTAAATTTGCTTCTGTAGACTATACCTTTGATGTTAAGTATCACTGTTTTTGTCTAGATTGGAGAAAGTTTGAATATTGGTGTTGTACAAACTGCATATGCAAATGGAAGTTCAACACGTTACCTTGAAGAAGTTATGAAGGTACTGAACTATTTTCTTTTTCTGATAGTTTAATTGTAAGATGTTTCTGTGAGGAAAATATTGTCCTAATAAAAGTGAATATGCTGCAGTGCATTAAGCTGAGCTGTTGTCCATGTAAGGGTAAAGAGAAATAAAAAATAATAAAAAATGTAATTGTCCTTGATGTCAAATGGGAGAGACTCCCTCTACCTTTTCTTAGAGCATTTCCTTTAGAAAACATGTAAATTATTTCTCTGTCCCTTTGTAATGAATGTAAATCTTCTTAAAGACCACATAAGCCAATTTTATAGCCCAGGAAACTTTTTCTTCAAGGGTCTGGAGTGACCATTTTTAAATATAAGTATCAGGGAAGATAGTACCCCTGTCTCTCAGTCTCATGAGAGTTTAGGTGTCTGGCTCCAGATTGTAACTATCTACTCATCATAGAGATATGAGAAATTTTATTATTGCTTTGGATAAAAGCAATTAACTAACACAGATGGCTATCCCAGTTACTAGGTAAATTTAGGATAAACTATGTGACACAAATGGTGTCGTCAGGTCCTCTTATTTGAAGATTAGTGTTAAAGAAAAAATTACTCATGACACTTGTTAAAATGGTAAGGCAGACTTAATTCAGGACTGTTGTGATAGGTACAAGGACTAATGTGATGGAGTTTCGCAGTGGGGAAGAGAGGCTGGGCTTAACTCTGAATACAGCAAGAAGTGTGATTTTATAGCCAAGGAGCCAGGGTGTGTGTGGAGGGGTAGGAGTCAGTAGATGGAAACTACTGAGAGGAAACATCAAGGGAAGGGGAGGATATTTTGGCTAAACCAACCTAACAGCATTCTTGAAGAAGGCAGGCCAGGGTGATCACGTATTACCTGGGGGGTGGTGGAAGATGAGGACTTTGATGAGATATCAGGGGTAATCAGATATCAGGTTGAGGATTCTTGCTAAAATTTTGCTCTTGGAGGACATGCCCAAGGATGGGGCCTAGTTGGGCTCAGATGAGCCTGACTAAAGTCTGGTCAAGGAGAGACTCTTTGTCCCTAGTTATCTTTTATCTTGGGGACTTATATGGAGTGGATTGTACCTGCTTGACTATTTTAAAGGGTGAGAGTTCTTTCTGTTTTTGCAATCTCTTAGTGCATTGCCTGTGATTGCATCATAGTCTAGCTTAAGCTTATTCAGTAATAAAACTGTTTTCTTACTCTCATTTTTCATGGAGAGGTTTCCTGGGGTGGTAGGAGATTCTGTTTCTAGTTATTTCCCTAGTGTCCCCCAGATGGCCACCCTTTGTACCACATGAACTGCTCTGAGAGTTAGGGGTTCATGGAAACAACTGGAAGCCTGTTTGCCTTTACTCTTTTTCTCACTAACTGGTGTAATATTTTTCCAACTTTTGTGTATCTCATTTCAAATTCTGGCTTTTTTTTTAAACTAGTTTTGTTACCTCTTCATTCTCTATAAAGTAGGAATTGCAAAGTCAGATTCCTGCAGGACCTGGACAGGGAAAGTGAGTGTGAATACACAGGTGGCCAAGGACTGAGCAGTGTGCCCAGGCCAGCTACTGTCAGCTCTAGTCAGATTCTTCAAGAGAAGCTGGAATTCTGAATTGTCATGTGAATTCCTACTTTTTAAAAAAGAAATAGCAGGTGGACAAAACAACCTATCTGGAGGCTACTAGTTTTGTGATCTGATTAAATATATGGTTATAGTTATAACCTCATTCAAGGGACTCTATCTGGGGCCCAGTTGCCTGCCTTTCACAGGAATTGGGTTATTTCACACTACTTGAGTTATCATTTTAGTATTTTAATTCTTGTTTTCCATCTTAAAATTTTCTTATAGGTAAAATGCCTTGTTTAAGAAATGAAGCATATCAGAGATGGTTACTTCTCAACCCACTGTCTTACAGATGAAATATTTTTAGCCCTTGCCATTCCTGAGGTCTCCTAAATCTAGTCAAATGCTGATCTTACTTGATGTCTCTTTTGCAGTTTTGCTCCCATCAGTCTTTCCTTAACCATTCTTAAATCTCGTTTTGATGCATCCATGACTTTCCCCACCCACTGTTGCTGGTCCAGACACTGTAATGTCTTAGTAGGATTAGTCTTAGAAACCTCCTAACTGATTTCCTGTTTCTTAACCTTCTAATACAGGTTTGCCACTGTTTGTAAATAAAGTTTTATTGGAATAGAGCCATGCTCATTTGTTGATATATAGTCTGTGGCTGCTTTCACACTATAAGGGTAGAATTAAGTAATTGTGGCAGAGACTATATGGCCTGAGAGCCTAAAGTATTTGCTGTCTGGCCCTTTACAGAAAAAGTTTACAGACTTCTGCTCTAAGCCATTCTCCACACTGTAGCTAAACTCAGCTTTCTAAAACAGATCATGTCATGCACCTACTTGTATTCTCTCATGGCAGATAAGGAGACCCCCATCTCTCGCTGGCTTTTCACTTGGCTGTGAGCTTCCATAGTGCCTTCTATGCCCCATGGGACACTACCCATTTTGCATTGTAATGCCGAATCTTGTTCCTCACTGGGCTAAGCTCCAGTAGGCTTTACTATTTGTTATATCCCTGAGGTATCAAGTATATAATACAATAACCATTTGTCACCTGAGTAATTGCTGTTGTGTTTCTTTAAATGTGTGTTATAGGTACCTGTGTATTGCACCAAAACTGGTGTAAAACATTTGCACCACAAGGCTCAAGAGTTTGACATTGGAGTTTACTTTGAAGCAAATGGGCATGGCACCGTAAGTTCTCCTACATAGTTGCAGCTGCTGTAGCTGGCACTTTTACAATGGGAGTTCTGTATCTGGGAGCTAATAGGTAGTACTCTACGTTGTTGAAATGATTGGATGGTGGTAAGATTCTTTGGTTAACTTATATATCCTTACATATTATAAAACTGGTTTTCTTTTAGATTGTAATGATTGTTCTTTGAATTTGAAGAGATATATTAATTTGTTCTCTTAATTTAGTGTTTTTAAACAATATGCAGTTCTTAATTTTGTTTTAAGTAGATTGTCTATGTGTTTTCCTTCAACTGGCCATTGGTGGGAAAAGGAAAACTTCAGTAGCTGTGGTAAATTGAAAAGTGTTGGAAAGTTAAGAATTACTATAAACAACTGGAAATGAGTTTAAAGTAATTAGTGATAAGCATATAAAGTTTTGTATGGCTTTCTTGGCAGACAGAATATTTTAAAAAATTTTGAGGTATAATTTACATAATGTAAAATTCATAGTTTATGCATAATGAAGTGGTTCTTAGTAGAGTCATAAAGTTTAGAAGTTTTAAAAAAATTTTTTATACTTCACCTCATTTCATAAGTGGATTTGAGGTGGCCAACAGAAAATTTGTATCTGGGCCAAATCATTTTTCTCATTAATTCAATGTTGGCTTCTTGAGGACATAAATATAAGAAGGGGAAAAATAAGTTCCTACAAAATGCAATTAAAATATAATTTCAGTGATCTAGTAGAGAGGTTGGTAAATGATTTTTTTAAAGAGCAGATAGTAAATATTTTAGGCTTTGCAGGCCATAAGGTTTCTGTTTCAACTGCTTAACTCTGCTGGTGTAGCAGAAATGAATGGGTATGGCTGTGTTCCAGTAAAACTTCAGTTAGAAAAACAGGTAACGAAACCTGGAATGGTGGCTCATGCCTGTAATCCCAGCACTTTGGGAGGCTGAGGCAGGAGGATTTGCTTGAGGCCAGGAGTTTGAGACCAGCCTGGGCAGCATAATGAGACCCTCCCTCTCTCTACCAGGAAAAAAAATTAGCCAGGCATGGTGGTGCACACCTGTAGTCCCAGCTATTCTGGAGGCTGAGGCAGGAGAATCACTTGAGTCCAGGAATTCGAGGTTACAGTGAGCTATGATTGGGCCACTGTACTACAGTCTGTGTAATAGAGCAAGACCTTGTCTCAAAAAAAAAAAAGTGACCATCCTGTACATTATATTATGAACAAAAATCAAAAATGTATTTCATCAAGTAGTTGAGCATAGTGTGCTGATCCTCTTCAGTGGTGGGCCTCTGGAAGCCAATAAAAAGATGGCTAAGGCATTTCCAGATGACATGACAATCTCGAACATGATATACATATATTGTAATAAATATTCATGACACTATTTGCCATACTTTGATAAATATGATCAACCCACTTTCTAATTTTGCATCACTCATGCCTTTAAGTTTAGGACAATAAAATTGTGCTAGTTGCAATGAATTCTATCCTTCTAATTAAAAAAGATACAAAGTCTTAAGTAACCTGGTTGCACAAAACTGATTTAGCTGGCTAACAAAACACAAACTCATTATTTGTATTCAACTGTTGTCAAGGTGGTGTTTTCTTTGTAATCTGCTGTTTAAATTTTGATAAGCAGTTATATAATCCACAAAGAAACTTTTTTCCCCTAGTAATATCTTTGGGTTCTGATTTGATCTTATAATAGTTTTATGCGTTATAAGCCTGTCATTATTTTCCCTTGTGGTTTCTTCAGACTGATTAATGGTAAAAGTGGTTTAGCTAGCATGATAGTACTTATGACTGGGGCTTGGATAGTATTTTGAGACTGATTTTGTATGCTTTTATTGCAGGCACTGTTTAGTACAGCGGTTGAAATGAAGATAAAACAACTAGCAGAAGAATTAGAAGATAAGAAAAGAAAAGCTGCTAAGATGCTTGAAAACATTATGGACTTGTTTAACCAGGTCAGAACTGATGGGGTGGAATTCTTGGTTACCTTTACATTATTCAGAAGGGTGGGACAGAGCAGTGTGTGCTGTATAAAAAATTAAAGTGGAGAAGTCCTGTTGGTTTCCTTGCAACAGTAGTGTATCCAGTTGAGATTTACACTGAAATGAAATGACAAAGTGTTTTTTTATATGCTTCCCTTTCCCTACATTTTATGATGAAAAATTTCAAGTATATACGAAGTAGCCTAGAATCAACAAATGCAGCTACTGAGTATATACATTGTATGTTGCTAAGTATTTTTTTTTAAACCACCCTTAAGGAAATTCATTAAAGATAATCGGTTATCTCTTTGACAGAGGACACGTATGTGTGGGTCATGTAGTAGTTGGGATTAAGTATAGAGTGTGGCTGTGGAAAAGCAATACTCAGGGCAGAGAAAATCAATGGAACAAATATTTGAGTGTCTTGCACATATTCGGCAGTTTATATGCCTTATCCTATAATCTTTGCAGTAACATAGGGAGAGGGGTTTAATTCCTATTTTATAAATGAAGAAACAGAGGCTTAGAGCTACTAAGTGGTAGTTTTGAGGTGTATCTTACACCAAAGCTCATTTCTCCATTTTACCATGATGCTTTTATCTCAAAAGTGATCTAGTTATAAAGAAACATTTGAGTCTTGGAATGTTAGGCTGAGCCTGATCCAGTCTAATCTCATTTTATAGATGAGAAGGAGGATTAAACAAGTTTAAGGGCTAGTTTCAATATCCTTTATATACTTTTCATTGTTGTTTTCCATGGATATCTTTACCTCATTACTGTTTGTATTTATTTACAAAAAAACTCCAGTTAATGCTGCATGGGATCAAGGGGTAAGGGTGATAGGGAAGCTCAGGATACAGTTGAGTATCCCTTATCCAAAAAGCTTGGGACCAGAAGTGTTTTGGATTCTGGATTTTTCTGAATTTTGGAATACTTGCATATACACAGTGAGGTATCTTGGGGATGGTACCCAAGTCTAAACATGAAATTCATTTGTGTTATATATGCAATGTATATGTATAGCCTGAAGATAATTTTATTTTACTTTGTTTTGAGACAGGGTCTTGCTCTGTCAACCAGGCTGGAGTACAGTGGTGTGATCATAGCTCACTGTAGGTTTGAGCTCCTGGTCTCAAGTGATCCTCCTGAGTAGCTGGGACTATAGGCACGTGCCCAGCTAATTTTTTGTTTGCTTGCTTAAGAGATTGGGTCTCACTGTGTTGCCCAGGCTGGTCTCCAACTCCTGGCCTCAAGCCATCCTCCCACGTTAGCCTCCCAAGTTGCTTGGATTAGAGGCATGAGCCACCAGCTACCACACCCAGCAATTTTATACAGTATTAATTTTATGCATGAGACAATGTGTACATTGAACCATCAGAAAACAAAAATGTCACTATATGAGCCTCTCATGTGGTTGTTTGGCATCACCACCATTCCTGATTCTGAACTTACATGCTACAGACAAGCAATCATTTTCTTACACTTACTCATGCATATATGTACTTAACATAAATATATACATATCTGGTATGCATGGGAAAAGATAGGTTGCAGCTGAAGGTGGCTGGATCTTTTTTCCCTTGGGGGTACTGAATAAACTATTGTGAGCCTGTTTTTTTGTGTTTCGTTTTTAAGAGATGGGGTCTTGTTATGTTGCCCAGGCTGGAATATAGTGCCTACTCACAGGCACAATTCTAGCATACTACAGCCTTAGACTCCTGTCCTCAAGCATTCCTCCAGCCTTAGCCACCTAAGTAGTTGGAACTACAGGCACATGTCACAGGGCCTGGCTATCATGTCCCTAAATTTTAACTGTGACCCATCATGTGGAAATTTTCCCTTGGGATATCCTACTGGCATTCAAAATGTTTTGGATTTGTGGATCAGGGATGCTCAACCTGTACTGATTGGTTTTGTAAGACAGAACATTCATATCCAGGATTTGCTTATGTTAAGGGTGGTTTCTTCCATTTGTTTCCCATCTTTCAGGCAGCTGGTGATGCTATTTCTGACATGCTGGTGATTGAGGCAATCTTGGCTCTGAAGGGCTTGACTGTACAACAGTGGGATGCTCTCTACACAGATCTTCCAAACAGACAACTCAAAGTTAAGGTGTGAGAGGTTTTAAAATAATTTTTCTGAATGTTAACTAAAATACTGAAAATACTTCCTAAGTATGTCTTTTCATTTCATATATACACACATACAATATATAGAAAAGGCCTTATAATATCTAAGTATGTGGTTTCCAACTTTATTATAATGATATTAAGAATGACTCTATACATCTTTTTTAAAAAAAGATTTTATTATGGAAGATTTAAAACATAGAGAACAAAAGAATGAACTGCTCTGTACCTAGCTTAAACTGAATTCAGCTATTGCCCTATACATTCTCCATACCTCCCCCCAATATTATTTTGAAGCAAAACCCAGATAGCCTTTTATTTCAAGTGAAAATATTTCCTCTGCTTTATTTTTTGGTTCATAGAGTACTTTCCTGAGGCTAGATGCTGAGAAGTGGGAGAGAATTTTTTTTAAAGGTATTTCAGATAAATTGCTGACTTCTATGCAAGTTTATACCAGTTTACATATTCACTAACAGAATTTGTGAAAGACATTTAGAGATACTAAAACCAGAGTCCACAGGAATGGCTGCTGATTGTTCAGATTAGTTCAGGAGATGCTAATCACAGTCCTCTTATATAATAGGTATCCACTTATTTTTTTTGTTTTAACTTTTTTGAGACAGAGTCTCGCTTTGTTGCCCAGGCTAGAGTGCTGTGGCATCAGCCTAGCTCACAGCAACCTCAAACTCCTGGGCTCAGGCAATCCTGCTGCCTCAGCCTCCCGGGTAGCTGGGACTACAGGCATGCGCCACCATGCCCGGCTAATTTTTATATATATATATCAGTTGGCCAATTAATTTCTTTCTATTTATAGTAGAGACGGGGTCTCGCTCTTGCTCAGGCTGGTTTTGAACTCCTGACCTTGAGCAATCCGCCCGCCTCGGCCTCCCAAGAGCTAGGATTACAGGCGTGAGCCACAGCGCCCGGCCGGTATCCACTTATTTTAAATAGCTAAAGTTATTTGATCAATGACTACACTGGGGTCCATGGTATGATATAGAACTTAGTCATACAGTATGTATTTGGCCATCATTTTAGTGCTACCTATAAAGACTATAGAAATATCTTTTTTTGCTAAAGGCAAGACTGAAGAAAAAGAGAAAAGTTATACAAATGTTAAAATCAATAACCCTGACCTTGGAGAAGTAAAACTTAAGAAATTTTAATGCAGTTCATCTTATACTTAACCTGGTACTTTGGTACAATAAGCTGAAATATAGGTATGTTACTGTTAAAATGAAAAAAGGATAATCTTTGGTGGGAATTATGTTGAACAGGTTAAGCTTCTGAAAGAAAGAGTGTAATACGGTTAACAAATATGAAGTGCTTTTGCTTAGGTTGCAGACAGGAGAGTTATTAGCACCACAGATGCTGAAAGACAAGCAGTTACACCCCCAGGACTACAGGAGGCAATCAATGACCTGGTGAAGAAGTACAAGCTTTCCCGAGCTTTTGTCCGGCCCTCTGGTACTGAAGACGTTGTCCGAGTATATGCAGAAGCTGACTCTCAAGTAAGCTGGGATGGTTCTATTGAAAAAATGTGCAGTGAGTGTCTAATATAACATAGGTGATGGGGAGGAACACTAGGAGAGAAAAGAAAAAAATAGCATTTGGAATCTCACTATGCTAATTAAGGTTTATGTCTTTGAGATTTGTTTATAGAGAATTTCAGGTTTATATTAAGACTGCAAAATTATTTTAATGAGTTAAATAGTTGAACAAAGTTGGACCCACTTAGTATCCCCAAGTATTTTTCTTTTGATTTATTCTAGACTTCCTGAATTTCTAAGTAAGGAATAACTAATAAATACTTTGTACTGTGAAGTAGATTAATATAATAATATGACTATGAAAACAGCTAGCTTTGTAGTCCCTTTCTAAATCAATCAGTACCATTCATCATTGTCTCTGGACGCTCCATTTGTTTTTCATATATTTCCTATAAATGACAGCCTTACTCTGTGCTTCTGCTATTTTCTTGATAAGGACAAGATTTGTGGTCCAGAGTCTTATGATTTGCCCTCTTCACATGCTCCTTAAAGTGTTTGTAGAGCCAGGGCAAAGTACTGAAATAGGGACTCAGAAGGATTAATTTACATGAGACCTGACAGCTTTTTCAGAATCTAGTGAATGAATATCCCTGATGGATGAGGAGAGTACAAGTGAGGGTGTAAGAGTTACTCTTATGCAATTGTGGCCTCCTTGCCTTTGAGGGAATAGGTTTATTAATTGAATTTATTTAGGGTTTTGGAATAACTAATTTAAAAACTTACCTTCTTTAGAAGAATTTGACCTGTTTTCCAGTTATTTAAGGGCCTTGGAAATTGTTACTGAAAGATGAAAAAAAAAGTTTTCATTTGAGTATGTTAATAAAAACAAAATCAGGAAGCAACTTTCCCCCTTCCCTAGAGTTGCAAGTAAGGTATGAGGATTCTTTGTCTCTCATCTTATTTCCTTTAATCTGACTTGCAGGAAAGTGCAGATAGCCTTGCACATGAAGTAAGCTTGGCAGTATTTCAGCTGGCTGGAGGAATTGGAGAAAGACCCCAACCATGTTTCTGAAGATAATTTTTATATTCCTGAGAAACTGGATTGTTAAAATTTTTTTATAAAACTGTCAGTAATTATAGCAATACTACGGTTATAATCATGTTTACTATGCATCTTACTGGATTGTTTCTAGATCTGATTGCTTTTCTTAAACACTACCAGAGTAATTCTTTAGAAATATATAAGTCTTATTTGTTAAAGAAACTTACCTCTAATTTCAGTCTCACTAATGTAAAATATTAGGCTTAAGCATATGATTCAATCATTAACTTTATAGCTGTATGCAGGGAACAATTCATGCAGGCTGCTGGAAAATTAAATCCTATTACACCAACTCCTTGTTATGTCTTTGCCATCACTGTCACCTAAGCCAGATGTTGTTTTGCAGCATTCACCATTGTTGATACAAATGGAGAGGGTGGAGAAGACATTATATAACCAATTTTTCCATTGCAGAGTCTTCAGAATGATTATTAAGTGCCTTACCTATCCAGGTAGCACCATCAAGGACTCAGAGGTGTGAATAGGGACGTTGGCCATCTCTCCTCCATACTGAGGTGGAGGTGCTCATGCTGTCCTTTATGAGGAAGATGGTCCAGGCTTCAGTTAATCCTTGCTCCTCTTAGTGAAGGTACGTGGCAGGAAAACTAATTGTAATACATTACCCAGCCTCTGACGGAGAAGTGACACCATTCTGATACCAGAACATGGGTAATAAGGAAAAAAATCCCCAACCAATCTAAATTAAACCAAGCCTGAAACCAATAGAAAAAAATGTGCAGTGTGTATTTTGCAGGTTTAAGACAACTCAGGACAATAAAAACAATGGACTATATATGTATATATAGCTCTCTCTTAGGCACCATAATCAATATGAGCCAACAATATTTAAACTTGATTCAGGCCACATTCAGACATTTGCTCTTATTTACAAATACTTAAATTAAATACAACCTGAAGTGTGTTTTGTTACATACAAAAAAAAAAAAAAGGAAACTATACAACTCAGAGCAGTGTGTTTGTTTTAAATAATTACATTTACATTTAAGCTAAATGGAACCACTGGTGGTGCTCAAGTTTTTATCACTCCTTCCAGAAAATCCTTTTCTACCATCTCTTCTATTTTTTGCCTGGCTTTGCTGGAAAATGGTTTATGGTTCTCCAGTTTCATGTCCTTATTAGGGAAGACGTTTGAGTAGAGTATAGGGCTCCCTGAGTGTCCTCCACATCTGCTTGTGACTTTGCTGTTGAAGACTTGGCTGAGGACGTTGAAGAAAGGCAGGAGCTGCTCCATGTTGCGCACGGTGCAGACGGTGAGCAGCAAGTGCCCTGGCTCCCAACCCAACGTTCTCCCTGAGTTGTCGTCTTCTGGATTTTTCTGCAAAACAAAAAGGGAATTGTTATTAACAGATGATGTAGTATGTTAGAAAAATAAGATATAAACATGAGCAGTCAAGAAACGAATACAAATGATGGCATTAAGTCTCCATTCCAGACTTGTTTAAACCCTTGTTTCTCATGAAGACTTTTTAGTGCCAGTTATTAATTTTGTATGGAGGGGTCTAACACTGTGGTAATAATTCTCAAGTAAAATGCACAGATAGGCTTAGCAAAAATGGTTTTGAACAGGGATAGGGAGAGTCAATTAAAAGTTCATGTTGTGCTTTGCATATACTTAAAAAGCTCCCAGATTTCTGGAATCTCACTAATGTAACCAAGTAGTATATCACGAAATGACTACAGAAGACAGGAAGGGACAAAGAGCTTTATATGTTTTTCCATTAGTAAATTAGTTAATTCCCTTTTAGCCAATGGCCTGAACTTGCCACAAGATGGCAGCAGGTCCAAAGTGAATAATTATTGCCAGTACTACAGCACGGAGAAAGGATCCTTGAGAGACACTGCTATCTCCCGCTGGGCTGTGCTAAATGACACGGGGAGGAAAGCTGGATCCAGAGTCCAAAGAACTGGGTTAGTGTATTGGCTCTGCCATTTATTTATTGTGTGCATCCTTGGCAAGATACTCTTAAGTGAGGGCAAAGGTTCCTCACTTAGAAAATGGAAAAATCTAATCTCTATATTTCAGTAGAGAAGTCAAAAAATGTGTGTGATAATGGTTAACCAAATATAAACACAAGAGGCTAGTTTAAGAAGCTAAGAATTACATAAACACAACTGCAGACGTCATTCTGTCCAGAGAGAGATGAGAGAACTACAGTTGAACTTGGGCAGAATCAGATATAACACCACCCTAAATAAAGATAATAATGAACTGTATAGGAAAAGGAAAAAAATCATTGAGACTTAGGAAACAAAATTGCCACCTTTCATATTGATTAACAAATGGAGTTTGCCTTCTAAGATCAAATGTTGAGAAACTAGTTTAATATCCTAGTTTTCTAGTGGATAAAGCAGATATAAAATCTGGTGGCTATTGTGTGTGCTCTCTAAGTTTATTTGCTTAAAGTAAAATTCTGAGAAAGGAAAACAGATTCAAGTTAAAATGGAAGACTCCAGGAACAAACAAGATTACCTAGTTCTTTCTCTGGCCAAAACCAAAAAAAACACCTAACAGCTGTCACTTAATTTACTTAGCAATTGTTTAACCTCTAATCTAGATTATAAGATACACAAAACCATCTTTTTTCTTAACTATGACACTGGCTCTACTGAGAGTTCTGTGACTGACTTTCATATCACTACCATTACTCAAGAACTGGTCGATCACACCACCTCTGTAGTCCCTAAATCAAACTGCAACTCAGTGACAAAAGAGTGTACAGAGATGAATTTATCTTGAAGAAAAATGAAAACTATGCTTACCTCTATATAGCTCATTTCTAAATATAAGAGAACTATGATGTAATCTTTCATTTATATTCCTGTCAGGATGTGCCTTTAAGAGCGGGACTTATACTAAGCCTTTGACCAAGAAGAATACACTTGTTTCAGTGTTTCTGCTGTTCCTAATCAGAACTATACATACGTCCTCAGTATTAAATACAATAAAGCCAAACATGTTTCCAAACAAATGACTTCTTCTTTGACTTTACCAAACTACACTTAAAGACTTCCTTCCTGTTTACCTCTCTTGTACTTGTTGAAACCCAGAATTGGCTTTGTGTCTCAATATTTGGTCCAGATGTGGCAACTTTTGCTGCCATATCACAAGCATCAAAAGCCACCCTCACCTGATGCTTGGCCATCTCCAATCCCTCCAAAATCATTGTCTTAAAGTCCTCCTCCTTGTCCTGTGGAAGGAAAGAGGAGAACTCATATCCTTTGTTCCAGTGAAAAGTATGCTTGGCCGTGAAGACCTTGTTTAAAAGTGATGTGGATGGAAGGATGCTTTCCAATCAAATTAGCTTTCTTATTCTGTGGGACAAGTTTTGGGCAAAGGACTGTTATATTTGTGCTTTAGATAAAGGAGGAGTCTTATAAAAACTCTCATTACTAATGAGATGCAGGAATAACAAAGGACATGCACCTGGGGTCATATATAATTGCATTGCTTCTGGGTTTGTCGTCATGATTATTATTCCAAACCCTGTGATATGAAAGTGAAAGTATCTAAATCCTATCCCTAAACTCTGGACCCAATTTTAATCTTCATTCTCTGTCTTTTTATTTACCCTCTATAGAAGCAACTGGGATTTTAAAATTAAATTCCTTATGTAAATTCCTTCAAGTAAAACTTCCTTTTCAATCACTTTCCTCCATTCCATTTCTGTATTTATGGATTTCTATTTAAGAGCTACACCTGAGTAGAGGACTCCAGAAGACTGGAAAATTTCTGAGCACTCAAAGCACATACTGCAAACTAGGTTTCACAAAACAGCCTAGATCATACCCAAATTGTACAATTTATTTTTGAAATTTTTTGGATGCAAAAGAAGAGATGACAAAAGATTAGTAACACAGACCCAATGATGACTATGCCAGTTTCATTACTTTTATGTTCTTGGGCAAAGATCTGTAATAAATTACTCTGATGCATACTGAAAGATAAAGTACATAAGACACAGTATAAACATATTTTACATATCTTATTTTTCTTATACTTTATGGTATATGTTTTAAGTTAATTCCCACATTTCCTCTTGAGGAATATTCTCTAAGTAGATGCTTTATGTTAATGAGTCCCTTCACTACCTTTCTAATAGAGACAGTTTAATTTTGAGTAGTGTTTTAAAAACTGCAGGGTGGGAGGGTTCTTGAAATATGTTTAAATGGGACATAATCAGCATCAACAATAGGAACTATAGAACAAAGAAAATACTTTGTGTGCTAAAGGCAAGTATTTTTTTGTGAGAAAGTTTATATTCTGTTACACAGCAGTACTGGGTTAGGATGTGGAATACATTTCTTACTGTAGGTCATAATGAAAAAAGCCTAAAAATGTTGACTTAGCAGAACTAATTCATTTTCATTCTTAGAAATTTTTTCTTTTTTTAAGAGATGGGGTCTTACTCCACCATGGAGTGCAGTGCCACGGATGCAGTGCCATGGATACAGTGATCATAGCTCATTGCATCCTTGAGCTCCTGGGCTCAAGCAATACTGCCTCTCTGTCCTCAGTAGCTAGGACTACAGGCATGTGCTATGATGGCCAGCTAATCCCTCCCCCCTCCTTCCCTCTCTCCCTCCCTCCCCCCCCCTCTTTTTTTTTTTTTTTTGTGAGATGGGTTCTCTCTCTGTTGCCCAGGCTAGTCTTGAACTCCTGGTCTCTTAATAATCCTTGTGTCTCAGCCTCCTGAGTACTTGGGTTACAAGCATGAGACATCACACCTAGCTAGAATAGAATTTTTAGCATAAATATTTCACTTCATATAGACAAACAGAACGAATGCTAATGATTATTATTCTGATCGAGGTCTAGCTAATTCAGTTGATGAAATATGATAATTTCTAAAAGTGTAAAATGTATAATTTACCCAATTATTAGTTCTGTTAAAAACAAATCTAACATTTTTTCTAATAATCTTTTGATATTGAATTTTTCTCAACCAACTCATATTATCCTGTTTCTCATCATGGCATTAAGATGAATACTATGGGTGTTTTTGACACAATAGCTGTTTAGGACTACAGTGTTAAGTACTTTACATGCATGGTTCCAAGGTTTTTATGTTTTTTGAGGAGAAAATATTTTAAGGTAGATGTTATTAATGTACAAAAGACTTTTTCTTCTCTTTTAAAAAATTAATATAACCAAAATATTCCTTTAAAATACAATGTATTTTCTAAGTGTCTGGGAATATTAGGCTTATAGACATTAATTCTAAAAACTAGGGACATTTTTAAAAATAGCTCAACTTGATAATGTCTTCAATTTCCCAGGAAGTATTTAATAAACAATTCACTAATACAACATGTGGTTACATAAAACCGAACCAAACCAAAAGAATACAATACCTTTGCCCTTTTCCGAAGAAGTTTTGCCAGTCGTACCACGTATGGTTTAAATTCTCGTTGATGTATGCCCTGCCTTCTGACTTCTAAACCTGAATCATCTGAGGCTTCTGGAATAAAGGCCCATCGGTACCTATGTATCAAAGAATGATATGCACATCAGTATGACAGACATTGTATTATCTAAGATGAGGCATATTGTAGTAGAAAGATCATGACCCTCCTACTTAAAAGATTCAAATGCCACCTGTGCCACTTTTAGCTTTGTCACCTTTGGTATGTTTCTTAATCTCTCTGGGCCTTTTCTTCAGTAAAGATACCGTTAACTACCTCAGTGTTATAAGGAGTAAATGATAAAGTTATGAAGTGCTCGTCACTATTTTTTTCATGAGCACAAAGCAAATACTCAACATATGTTTCCTTCCTCATTAGCTAATAGGCAAAAAATTCTTACTGATAAAAGGAAATTGCTTTTGTTTTCTTTACTATCTCTTTGTACTGGCAAAGACTTGATTTCTCAATGTATAATTGGCTAAATGTTCCTTAACTACACAGTAAGGAGGCAAAGAACTGAAACAATTTAAGAAAAATGTAAGTAGAACTTCTTTTACACCTCTCTTATATTTCTCGTTTTTTTTTTTGTCTTTAATAAGTAAAGATAATATCTGACTATGGAAAAAATTCAAACCATATAAAACAGCATGCCAAAGAAAGGCGGTTTCTATTCCATCAAAGGATTCACCAATGTTGTCACCTTCTTGAATCTCCTTCCAGAGAGAGTTTATGCATAGAATGCATATTTGTACAACCAATCCTCTCCTTTAAAAAAAACACACATGATTGCTGCTTGTTTTTAATTTTTAAAATTTTTTTTAGAGATGGGGTCTTACTAGTTGCCCAAGCTGCTTTCGAGCTCCTGGCCTCAAGGGATTCTCCCATCTCAGACTCCTGAGTAGCTAGAATTACAGGCATAAGCCGTGCAACTGGCAGTTATACCTTGTTTTGATTTAATTATGTATATTGGAAATAATCCCATATCATATAAAACCCTATTCTTTTTAATAGCTACATAGTACTCTAGTGTTGGAAAGTACTGATTTTTTTTTTCCCTGAGGGTCTCGCTCTGTCACCTAGGCTAAAGTGCAGTGGCATCATAACAGTTCACAGCAACCTCAAACTCCCGGGCTCCGGAGATCCTCCTGCTTCAACCTCCTGAGTAGCTGGGACTACAGGCATATGCCACTATGCCAGGCTAATTTTTCTATTTATAGTAGAGACAGGGTCTCGCCCTTGCTCAGGCTGGTCTCAAACTCCTGGCCTCAAGCGATCCTCCTGCCTTGGCCTCCTAAAGTGCCAGGATTACAGACATGAACCAGGAAAGTACTGATTTAATGAGTTTCCTAGACTGTTCAATCTCTTGCTTGCTCTTAGAAAAATGCCATAATACCCTTATATAATGCTTATTTTTTTGTGCACATTTGAGAGTACAGTGGTAGGATAAATCCTTGGATGTAACAGAATTACTAGCTTAAAGAGAAAATATATTTTAAATTTTAGTAAATATAACCTCTTTGGAGAACAACTCGACAATATCAGTGTACACTTCCAACAAGAATAATAACCTTCTATGGATAAAAAGAAAGCAGTTTTTAGATCTTTACCACCCTGATAGGTATCTATAATTTTAATTGGAATTTCTGAGTATGGTTGAGCATCTTTTTCTGTGTTTAGAAGCCATTCTATGAACTATTAACTCTGTCATCCATTGGCCCATTTTTCTATCAGATTATTGATTTTTACATATTAAGCATGTTAGACGTTTTTGTCATGTACATTGCAAATATATTTTTCTAATTCATTGCTGTCTTTTAGAATGCTTTATGGTACTTTTTAGTTTATGGCTGCTTTTTAATTTATATGTACAAAAATTATCAAATATTGTAATCCTAGCACTCTGGGAGGCCGAGGCGGGCGGATTGCTCAAGGTCAGGAGTTCAAAACCAGCCTGAGCGAGACCACGTCTCTACTCTAAAAATAGAAATTAATTGGCCAACTGATATATATAGAAAAAATTAGCCGGGCATGGTGGCGCATGCCTGTAGTCCCAGCTACTCGGGAGGCTGAGGCAGAAGGATTGCTTGAGCCCAGGAGTTTGAGGTTGCTGTGAGCTAGGCTGACGCCACAGCACTCACTCTAGCCTAGGCAAGAAAGCGAGACTCTGTCTCAAAAAAAAAAAAAAAAAAAAAATTATCAAATATTTTGAATTACCAAAATATTATCATACTTAGATATTACTCTTTCAAGATTAAATTATTAAATTCTCCATGTTTTCTTCTACTTTATAGAATTTAATTTTTAAAAAAATAGATTTTAAAAAACTGTAGCTAAGATTATGGCATGTTTCCTTCCCTTTTGTAGTAACATCTTGAGAAGTAAAGAGGATAAAGTCATTTTAGTTCTTGTCATGGAGATAAAAAGTCAATACCATGAGCACACTATCTAATGTCATTTTTCCCAGAGCATCAAAGAGTAGAGTTCTTAATTACTTTTGTGAATGTAAGCAGCCTGGTTAATATTCCATTCCCAAAGAATAATACAACACATTATAATAATACATTAT